CGTCATGGGGGGCCCCATTCACTGTGGCCGCGTTCCTAGGTACTTTTTCTCGGGCCACGCTCCAATGGGCTTATCAGTGGGGTCGATCAGAACCGATTTCCCGCTTCTTGGTGGCAAAATGGCAGGATTTCCAGAGTGACCTCAGTTTGTTGAAATACGCAGATGATGTAAACAAAACAGTAGTGGCCTCCGACGAGATGACCCTGGGGGACTTATTCGGGAAGTTTCGTGATATGGGCGAGGCTTTCGATTCGGTGTTGCAGCCGTTCGGGTACGTTCAGAACTTGGGGAGACAAGAGTTTTTGACGTACTTCGCGTCCCAGGGAAATCGCGCTCGACAGATGGTTCGGAAACGTATCTCGGGCGTCCAGGGCAAAATCAAGGATGGTGTGCGGTACCTGGGGCCCCACATTCGGGTGCGTGACTCTTGTCATCAGGAGGTCACTAGGAGATGTTCGGCAGCGCGGACTGCATTCTACAGAGTTGGCGGCATCTGGTCGCTGGCGATCCGGCTAGTGCAGAATGCCCCCCTATCTGGCTTGGAAGCGTTTGTGCTCAGCATGGCCGACTACCGTCGCTTGGACAGTTGCCTGGCCTCACTGGCTCGAGTTGCGATGCTTGGTCGTGCCGCGCGCAAGGAGGAACACCGCGCGAGGTCCCTTTCCCACTCCCAGGTCCTTCTCTATTGGCGACTCTTGGACAGCGAGTGTGAGATGAGAGTTCGCCGGTTGAAGTGGTGCCCGAGTTGGGCTGCGAGACTCGATCATCATATCCAGCCGCTGTGCGCGATGTTCGGGGACTTTGAGGGCGAGGCAGAGCGCGGTTTCCCACCGCCTTTGCTCGATGGGGGCCCCATCTGAGGCAGTTTCCCCGTGGCTGAGCCAGATGACGCACGATCTCGAGTTTGCCGCAGGTGTCGTCGATAGCGAGGCGATCGATGTGCTGCTTAATGACATGAACACGTTTGTAAATAAGGAGGAGATGGGGTTTTTTGTATGCTAGATATGGGAGTGCGCAGGGCTTCGAGGTCTCGGGTTCAGGTCCCACCAACAGGTTTCCTACTGGCGCCTGAAAGGCTTGAGAGACCTCCAGCAGCTCCTGCTGGGGATCCACCGCTTAGATGTAGAGCAAGTACGGAGACGGGCTTCTGTGGGGCTGCTTTTCACACACGTAAAGCATTACTGAATCACTACAGGGCTCATCATAATGTACGTAGTCTAGCACATGTGATCACGCCGACACACATATGTGTGCACTGCAGGCAGATATTTTCGAGCAAGATCACAGCTTTGAGGCACCTCTTGGGCTCAATCCTGGGGGCAGTTGTTGTGCGACTGGGCCGTGGGTACTGGGGGAGTTACTTCAGCCTCGATAATTGAAGTGTCCATTATGTGATCATGAAGCTGGTGATCTCCTTGATTTATGTAACCATTTGGCTTCTGAGCATCTTCCATGGGAGCTGCCTCCATTCAGTGCCGAACATAGTGCGCGTCATAGAGCGGCCCAAGATGGAGCTTGCGATGCCATCGTGGTTCAGCGGCAAGAAGCGCGAGGGCGACAATGCAGAACCGCCCAGCGCTGGAGCAGTAGGCAGTGCGACGGGAGGCCGCGCGAAGACGGCCAAGAAGGACGGCGGCAAGGGCGGCGGCAAGGACATGGCGAAGGTCGCGGCTCAGGTCGTTCGCCTGCTGCTCACCGTGACGCGCGAGCTCGGGGACGTGGCGAGCGTCGTGTTCCTCAGGTGGGACATCGCCCTCGATCGAGGGCTTCCATCGTGCCTGGCTGTGCCAGGCAAGAAGTGCGACGACCAGAGCAAAGGCGTGAGGGCCAAGCAGGCCGAGGGAGTCGAGCAGGACTTCAACGCGAGGGGTCCGCCACACATGCGCATATTCGTGTCGGCGATGCAGTACTGCGCCACACGAACTCCTACAGCGGGGTCTACGGAGGAGGCCGAGAAGACACTCAAGCAGGACAGCAATGAATGGTGGACACAGTACATGAGGGAGGAGATTTTGCTGAAGGAGATTGGGAGGGCAGTGCCGTACTTCAGGTGCTAGCCTCTGCGCAAGGAGAACAGGTGTATCATCATGATGAGGACGGACTTCAACAAACCAATGGGAGTGGAAGCGTCTCGAATCCTGGAGGCGGTGATCGAGGCCGAGGGCGGAGAGTTCCTGCTGGGTTCAGCTCCGAGGGGGCCCATCGAGCGAGAGCTTATGGCCTGGGTGAACAAGTCCGACGAAGCTTGAGTACGAGCTCGCGGCTGCAAGAGTTGATTTCGAGAGGATTGGTGGCACCAGATGTGCTGGACCGACCTGGGCGACCTGCTGCAACGTGCAGTGACCCTGGGCTGCCGCCTATCCCGACTGTAGTGCTGGCTCGTAGCCGCTCGTTGCTTGATAGAGGAAGGGGGCGGGGTGGTGGATCGGAGCGGGGGCGGGGGAGGAGAGGAGCTTCCTGAGCCTGTGGGCTGACGGCCTCTTGCGGGCTGCGTGCCCGCTGGCCTGTCAGACGGGGCCAGTGCGTCTGCTGGGGTGAGCGAAGGTCTCGCCTTAGTGAGTTAAGTGGTGTCCGTAGTGACCCACCTCAGAGTCTTAGTGCGTGTCGAATTGCAGCCTGAGTTCAGGCGGTGGTGCAGTGCGGCAGGGTGCACAGTCAGGATTCCATGAGTTGGTCTAAGGTCTAAGGTCTCCTCTTCCTCCTCCTCCTCCTCCTCCTCCTCCTCCTCCTCCCCCTCCTCCTCCTCCTCCTCCTCCTCCTTCTCCTCCTCCTCCTCCTCCTCCTCCTCCTCCTCCTCCTCCTCCCCCTCCTCCTCCTCCTCCTCGTCCTCCTCCTCCTCCTCCTTTTGCTCGTGAATCCGGTCGGCCTCACACTGTGTGAGCCGAGGCTTTCGATCTGCAGAGGGTGTTCCAAGCACGTGCGCTCGAGCCCTGCTGTGGAAAAGTGCAGCTCTCAGACGTCCGATCTGTCACCTCAGAGTTTGCTCATCGAAGAGGGGCCGCCTCGCCTTCCTTAGCGGCCTTTCTTCGCTGGGGCCCCCGCCGCGGGCTGCTGGGGCTTCGGCGGAGCGGCCCAGCCGCGTGACCCCCCGGAGAGCTCTGCGGCCCGGAAGGCGACGGGAGGACGCAGCTGCAGAATGCGCACCGTAACGCCCACAACAGGCTGAACTCAGTCATCTGGGCCTGAGGGCCCGCCGCGCTGCCCACTGGTGGGCCGTCCTGGATCGTTCCGCGCGTGTCTGTCCGTCTGTCTGTTTGTCCGACTACACCCACACACACACGAAAGAGTGACCCTTCGCCAAAGTGACTTCTGGTGCGGGCTCGCCAGGGTCCCCCCGATCGCTGATCGCGATGCGATGGTGGCTGCTTGCGCGCCTGGATCTGGCCACCTTGCGCCTCCGCGCTACAAAGGTGATTCTTACTTGGGGCCACTTTTGGGTGCAGCCGAGCTGAGTTTTCCTCGATCCATTCGCCCACTTTGCGCGCCCGGCCCAAGCCTGGGTGGCGCCATCCTGGAGGGTTAGAGCTGGGCTCCGCGTAAGTTGGTTTCGTTTTTTTTTTTTTTGCGGTGGTCGTTGCCGCCGCTGGACTTTGCTGGGGCACAGTAGCCCGCTGTGTCCTGTGCTCGGCGCGCGTGCCGCCCGCCCACTTTGCGCGCCCAGCCTTTGGCTGGGTGGCGCCATCCAGGAGAGGCTCAGCTGGGCTTACCGCGGGGGCCTTCCCAGGCCGCTCCTGGGCTGGGCACTGTGTGTCATCCGGGCTGGCGTGCTCTTTCTCGCCGCCTGGCACTCCCTGCTCGTTTTTATGATGGCTTGGAGGCCGCTCCGCATGCCCGAACGGAGCCCGGCAGCACAACCCAGGGCGCCTCTTGGGACAGGTCGGTCGGGAGCAGTCCGCCCGGCTCTGGGAGCGCGTGGCCGCGTTGCCACAAACAAATAGTAATCCTTCCTCTCGTGGTCCTCTCCTTCTCCTTCCCCTCTCGTCTGTATCTGTTCAGTTCACATGCGCTCGCGTGATTTCCCTTCCCTTCCCTTCTCGTGCAACCCCACAGCCCTTACCGGTCTGCCTGCCCCCGGTGACATCCTGTTCTACCGATTGTGGAGAGGGGGGCGTGATGGATGTGGACAGGTGAGATCAGTTCGGATATCAGGCCGTACAGTCGGGGCCGTGAAGAAGGAACCCTTTTGGTTGGGGAGGGGCTCCGCGTTCCTTAAGTGTTTCACAGCTTGCCTCAGGTTTCCCTTCTGTTTCCGATAGGAAATCGAAGTTTAACTTATGGAGAAAAGGGGCCTCGTTCCTTATTTAGGGTTCCTTAGGTCAACGCCCCGACTGCAGCTCTGGTGAGCGGGAGGCTGGTCGATGGTGCCCGTTGTCTGGCGGCTCCCGTCGCGATCCGAGGTGGGTGTGCCCCCACGGGCCGCCGCCCCTTTGAGCCGTCCGAGTCCGTGCTGGACGGCAGCCGGGTCTGATCGTCAGGCCGAGCCTGCAAACTCGAGGGTGCCTTTTGTGCCCTGTCCGTCGCTCTTCGTGCCTCTTGCTCTGTTGGGAGCGCGGGCTGCTCTGGGAAGAGAGTTGTGCCTCCTCGGGCGTTCTTGGCAAGCAGTCCTGACCTCAGCGGGCCCTAGAAACGGCAGCACCGTCTTTCATGGTGATCAAGAAAGCTGCTTCTTGATCATGAGATAAAAAGCACGGCTCACCGAAAAGGCCTAGGCAGTCTCGGGACCCGAAGGACGTTCGGAACTGGTTCGAAGACGGCTCGGATCTGGTAAAGAAACGGTGATGTGGACCAGGCCCCCACCAGGGGAAACGAAAACGGTAAAACCACGGCGCTGGAAACGTCACAACGGCGCCGGAAATTGCAACAAAAACTGAAAACGAAAACGGCAAAACATTGCCCTGTCGTTTGCAGGGCGCACTAAGGTCTTGACTGTGCTCTTCTTGCAGGGGTCGGAAGGGGTAAAGAGTTCTGGACGCGTGCTTGCCTCGGATCCACCCGAGGAGGCGCCAGCCGCGCCCGCGCCTGCGGCAAAGGCCGACGCGGCTGCGCCAGCCGCAGAGAAGAAGGAGGCCGAGACTGCTGCCAAGCCGAAGGAGGCTGTGACGGGCGGTCCGATAGGGGTGGGTGGGAAAACGATTCCGATATCTTCCAGCTGGGCTCCAAACTCGAAGTTCTTGCCTTTCGAGACCAGTGAGGTGCAGTCTTTGTGGTGCAGTTCACTGGCCGAACTTGAAGTTGTCAACTCCACTGCTCGCGCAATCATCCCACCCACCCACCCGCAACTTGGTTTGCAAAACCCATGCGGGACCGAGCACAGATATCGCTCCGGGGTCGTCTTGGAGCCCTCGGGGGCGTCTCAAGAGCGCCCCAAGAAGGCCAGAGAAGCAAGACGGCCGACGACGATGGCGACGACGACGACGACGACGGCGGCGACTGCGACGACGCCGACGTCGACGACGACGAAGACGACGACGCCGACGCCGACGACGACGAAGACGACGACGTCGCCAACGAAGACGACGACGAGGGAGGAGGGAGGACGACGACGGCGACAACGACGACAACGACGACAACGACGACAACGAGGGAGGAGGGAGGACGGCGACGACGCGAACGACGAAGAAGGAGGAAGGACGGCGACGCCGACGACGACAACGACGAGGGAGGAGGGAAGACGACGACGAGACGACGACGACAACGACGACGACGACGACGGCGACGAAATAGGAGGGACGACGACGAGACGCCGACGACGGACGACGACGACGACGAGGGAGGAGGAGGAAGGACGACCACGGCGACAACGACGACGGAAACGACCACGACGCCAAAGAGGACGACGACGACGAACACGAGGAAAGACACAGGACGACGTAGGCGACGACGACGACGACGACGACGCGGGAGGAGGGAGGACGGCGACGACGACGACGACGACGCCGCAAGAGCGCGCGCGCACGCTTGTGTTGAAAATCCGTGTTGCGAAACCTTGTAGTTTTGTAGGTTTTTTGGACGCGCGATTTTGAAATCCTTCCGAAACCGATGTGTTTTGAAGGATTTCGGCGTACGCGCGCGACGACGCGCGCGTCTGCACTTCGTCTCATTTTTTGCAGAGGATTCTTGCGACGGCACACGCGCAAGGGCGTTCGACAGATTTCGACATGCGCGCGCGCGACGCCCGTTTGGTAGCATGTTGTGAAAATCTTGAAAAACCAATGGTTTTCTTAAGATTCCGCAAGAGCTCGCGCGTAAGCTTTTATCGCAAATCAGTGTTACGAAACCCGGTGTTTTTGTTCCCCAATCAGAGCTTGCCTCTGTAGGGGTCCTAGCGGATTAAAGGATTAGGTGAGAGGTGCGGCCGATTTCGGTGGCCGGGCCCGGGTGCCCGGGGGGGCCCGGGTGCCCGGGTGCCCGGTGTGCGGCCGATTTCGGTGGCCGGGCCCGGGTTCCTGGGGGTGCCCGGGTGCCCGGGGGTGCCCCATGGCCCAATAGCCCAATAGCCCAGTAGCCCAGTAGCCCTATAGCCCCATAGCCCGATAGCCCTATAGCCCGATAGCCCTATAGCCCATATAGCTCTATAGCCCATAGCCCTATAGCCTTATGGCCCTATAGGTCACAGTCCTATAGCCCTATAGCCCTATAGCCCGATAGCCCTATAGCCCTATAGCCCGATAGCCCTATAGCCCTGTAGCCCGATAGCCTTATAGCCCTATAGCCCTATAGCCCGCCCTATAGCCCGATTACAAAGGGAGCAATCGGAAGATTAAAACAAATCTGATTGAGGTTTTTCTCCGGTATCATATGTTTTTTTGGAAACTCGATTGCGAAATCCTTCCGGCAAATCAGAGCTTGCCTCTGTAAGGGTCTTAGCGGATTAAAGAGTTAATGAGGTGCGTCGCCGATTTCGGTGGCCGGGCCCGGGTGCCCGGGTGCCCGGGTGCCTGGCGGTGCCCGGGTGCCTGGGTGGCCGGTGAGGTGTGTGGCCGATTTCGGTGGCCGGGCCCGGATGCCCGGGTGCCCGGGTGCCCGGGGGTGCCTGGGTGCTGGGGGGTGCCCAATAGCCCAATAGCCCAATAGCCCAGTAGCCCTATAGCCCTATAGCCCTATAGCCCTATGGCCGTGTAGCCCTATAGCCCTGTAGCCCTATAGCCTTATATCCCTATAGCCCTAATAGCCTTATATCCCTATAGCCCTATAGCCCCATAGCCCATATAGCTCTATAGCCCCATTCTCTATAGCCGTATGGCCCTCTAGGTCACAGTCCAATAGCCCTATAGCCCAATAGCCCTATAGCCCTATAGCCCTATAGCCCGATAGCCCTATAGCCCTATAGCCCTATAGCCCGCCCTATAGCCCGATAGCTCTAAAGCCCTATAGCCCGAGAGCCCTATAGCCCGATAGTCCTATTACAAAGGGAGCAATTGGAAGATTAAACAACATCTGATTTTGGTTTTTCTCCGGTATCATTTTTTGGAAACTCGATTGCGAAATCCTTCTGGCACCGAAGGTTTTTGAAGGATTTCGGCATGCGCGCGCGACGACGCGCGCGTGTGCACTTCGTCCCATTTTTTGCAAGGGATTCGCGAAAAAGTGTTATCTTAGAACCAAAAATGTCATTGCATAGTGTTTTTTACAAGGGAACCTCAGGGGGGGGAGATACCGGTTGGCCTGGGACATTGTGATTCCCCAATCAGAGCTTGCCTCTGTAGGGGTCCTAGCGGATTAAAGGGTTAGGTGAGATGCGTTGCCGATTTCGGTGGCCGGGCCCGGGTGCCCGGGTGCCCGGGTGCCCGGCGGTGCCCGGGTGCCCGGGTGGCCGGTGAGGTGCGTGGCCGATTTCGGTGGCTGGGCCCGGGTGCCCGGGTGCCCAGGTGCCCGGGGGTGCCCGGGTACCCGGGGGTGCCCAATAGCCCAATAGCCCAATAGCCCAGTAGCCCTATAGCCCTATAGCTCTATAGCCCGATAGCCGTGTAGCCCTATAGCCCTGTAGCCCTATAGCCTTATATCCCTATAGCCCTAATAGCCTTATATCCCTACAGCCCTATAGCCCCATAGCCCATATAGCTCTATAGCCCCATAGCCCTATAGCCCTATGGCCCTATAGGTCACAGTCCAATAGCCCTATAGCCCTATAGCCCGATAGCCCTATAGCTCTATAGTCCGATTGCCCTATAGCCCTATAGCCCGATAGCCCTATAGCCCTATAGCCCTATAGCCCGCCCTATAGCCCGATAGCCCTATAGCCCTATAGCCCTATATCGCTATAGCCCGAGAGCCCTATAGCCCGATAGCCTTATTTCAAAGGGAACAGTTGGAGGATTTAACAAATCTGATTGGGGTTGATCTCCGGTATCATTTCATATTTAGGATGGACATGTGGTCAGAATCATATGTGATTTACATACCCGAAAGGGGGGGCGATACCGCCGGGGAGGGGATAGAGTCTATTCTCTTTTTAGAAAGGAGAATCTGTGGGGTTGACGCAGCGTGGAGCAGTTCACTTGTGGAAACGGCAGTCGGTCGTCAGCTCCAATGTTCGTGACTGTTCGTGCAGACATCCCACCATCCCACCCGCAACTCGCGGGCAAAACTCATCTGTCATGCTCTCAACGAGCGCACGGGCGCGTGGAATTCAGCCTCGTAGGCAAGGCCATTCTGGAGGTCGTGAAATGGTGGTGGTAATGATTGCGACCGTGACGCCAACGATAATGGCGAAGACAGTGGCGATGACGCTGATGCCGATGACGATGGCACTGGCGATGAGGACGATACCATGTGACGATGACGATGGTGATAGTGAGTGGCAACGACGACGCTGGCGATGATGACGATGACGATGGTGCTGGTGCTGGTGCTTGTGCTGGCGGAGGCGATGATGACGATGATGACGATGATGACGATGATGACGATATGATGATGCTGCTGATGATGATGCTGATTGTAACGCGCTCGCCCGTAGAGCTTTGATGACGAGGGCGACGGCATCGACGATGACGGTGATGACCGCGGTGGTGATGATGCCGTCGATGGTGATGATAGTGATGATAGTGATGATGATGATAGTGATGATGACGACGATGACTGTTGCAACGGCAATGATGACGCTGATGATGGTGATAGCTATTTTGCTTACGAGGATGATGAGGATGTTCGCGTCCGCAGCAATCATAAGTTTGGACATATTCTGGTTGTGAGCCATTGGGATTTCAGATGCGTTTGAGCACATCTGTGCTGAAATCAATGGTTTTGGACACTGATCGACGTGCGCGCGTGGAGATGCGCGCGTGCGAGCCCCATTTTGAAAACGGCCCGCCTTCCATCCTTGTAGCTTCTGGGAACTTCAAAACGAATGTGTGCGGCGCTCAGGCGAGAACGACATGTTGAAAACGATTCGCTCTCCATCCCTTCCCTTATTCCAAGATTCCTGGTCATAATTGGTATGTAGGTCTCAGACGAGACGCCCAGCCCGCCCTACTGACAACGTTTAGTGCTGCGGAGAGAAGGAGTTGTGAGGAAGACGAGGAGGAGGAGGAGGAGGAGGAGGAGGAGGAGGAGGAGGAGGAGGAGGAGGAGGAGGAGGAGGAGGAGAAAGGTCAAGGACGAAGACCAGGGAGGAGGAGGGGATGCAGAATGAGGAGAGCGATGCCAGCCGCCGCCGAAGCCGTGGTAGCGCCGCCGCCGAGGCGTCTGCCGAGGTGGACCTGAAGCAGAAGATGCTCGACCGTGCAAAGCGCTTTGGTACCACCAGTGCAGAGAGCGAGGAATGCAAGAAGGTTGACCGCGCCAAGCGCTTTGGGCTCGCAGTGCCGGAAATGGACGTGCTTAAGAAGTCGGAGCGCGCGAAGCGCTTCGGTACCGCCGCTCCGAGCGCTGCGAAGGGTGACGACGCGGCCAAGCTAGCCGATCGGGCAAAGCGCTTCGGGATGCCCACTGGCGGCGTTAGCACCTCCTGTGCCGATGAGGAGAAGAAGAAGGAGCGCGCGAAGCGCTTTGCAGCCTCGCAGGCGGCAGCGACAGCGACGGCTTCTACTCCAGAAGAGGCGCTGAAGAAGAAGCAGCGGCTTGAGCGCTTCGGCAACGCGGTGGGCTCCGAGGAGGACAAAAAGAAGCTGAGGTCGGAACGCTTCGCCAGCGCCAAAGCCTGAGTGCAGCCGGTATTGCTCTGCGCTGTGAGGCCCCCTTGGAGCCGGGCGGTGGGGCGGCGCGCAGCTGGACGCCAGGGAGACCCCTCCCGTCCAGCGTGTAGAGCTGCCGGTCGACTGAGGGTCCAGGCGCAGTCTGGGGCCCGTGTGGTCTTTCGGGTCGAGCAATCGCCGAGCGCTTTCCACTACTCGCCGAGTGCCTACTCGCAAACGTCCGACAAAAAACCCGTGCTTGTCTCGATGTAGTGGGTCGTATATTTCCCCGCAGCGGACCAAGGGCCATTTGCGAGTAGTTACTATTGTGAGTAGCGAAACGCGCTCGTCGAAGGAAGCACGCCAGAGCGTTCCTGGCCTTTTTTCGACCGTCGGGGGCAGTTTTTAGGGCCCCCAGGGGGCCGTCAGGGAGCGGCTCGGGTGGACGAGCTGGCCCCTGGGGAGGGCGTCGAAGCTCCAGGGGGCCCGTGCCGTGAAGAATACCAGCCTCGAACGTATCCCTATCCCTAAGATTAACACGCCCAAAGGCGATGACAATCTTAGGGATTCGCCCTCCAAAAAGAATCGAATCCCTAAGATTGGCATCGTGATGAGGAGGTGCCCAGCACAGGGATAGGGATTTTTTCCAGGCTGGTAAGAGGACGACGCGGCGGCGGAGGTCTGGGGAAGGGGGTGGGGGCTAGATGGGAGGACGGGCGTGGTCCAGCGCCAGAGTGCCCCAGGCGCAGTGTAGGGGAGGAGGAGGATGAGGAGGAGGAGGAGGAGGAGGAGGAGGAGGAGGAGGAGGAGGGAAGGAGAGGAGGGGAGGTAGGAGGAGGAGGAGGAGGAGGAGGAGGAGGAGGAGGAGGAGGAGGAGGAGGAGGAAGGAGGGGAGGAGGAGGAGGAGGAGGAGGAGGAGGGAGGAGGAGGAGGAGGAGGGGAGGAGGAGGGGAGGAGGAGGAGGAGGAGGAGGAGGAGGAGGAGGGTGAGAAGGAGGAGGAGGGGAGGAGGGGGAGGAGGAGGAGGAGGAGGAGGAGGAGGAGGAGGAGAGGAGGGAGGGGAGGAGAGGAGGAGGAGGAGGAGGAGGAGGAGGAGGGAGGAGGAGGAGGATGGGAGGAGGAGAGGAGGAGGAGGAGGAGGAGGAGGAGGGAGGGAGGGAGAGAGGAGAGAGGAGGAGGGAGGAGGAGGAGGAGGGAGGAGGAGGAGGAGGTGGAGGAGGAGGAGAGGAGGAGGATGGCGACATCGGCCGCAGTTCGTTTCGGCTCCGTCGCCGGGCCGTTCCCTCGAGGCGCTGGCGCGCCTCGAGGAGGGCGCAGGAGAGAGAGCAGCTGCGGGCAGGGGCATTCGCTGACCCCTCCTTTGCTCCTTCTCCTCCTCCTCCTCCTCCTCCTCCTCCTCCTCCTCCTCCTCCTCCTCCCCTTCTCCTCCTCCTCCTCCTCCTCCACTCCTCCTCCTCCTCCTCCTCCTCCTCCTCCTCCTCCTCCTCTCCTCCTCTCCTCCTGTTCGTCCGCTCCGAGTCGTCCGCCCTTCCGAAGGCCCCAGGGGGGCGGGACGATGGGGGTCATCGGGTGTGCACTGGCCAGCCAGCTCGGGCAGTCGAGACCCCGATCAGAGCCTGCCCGGCTTGGCTGTGCGCAGACGTGGCCAGGGTCGTTTTTGTTTGTTTGTTTGTTTGTTTGTATGTTTGTTTGTTTGTTTGTTTTTTCTCTCGGCCCTTGAAATGGAGGGGCAGTCATGCGTCCAGAGGCGACACTGGGCCCAGGACCCTGATGGTATGGGTTGGGAAAGACAGTTCGGCCTGTTTCTTCTTTTGCTGCTACTCCTCCTGCTCCTTCTCCTCGTATCTCTCCCTCTTGAAACACCTTGCAGTCCCCCTCCGAGTCTTCTTGCATTCTGGGATTCCCAGCGCCCCAAGAGCCCCTCAGAACATAGTGCCCCCCGAGCACCTTCCCTCCTCCTCCGCCTCCTCCTCCTCCTCCTCCTCCTCTCATTTTTCTCTGCCTGTCCTCCTCCCCCTCCTCCTCCTCCTTCTCCTCCTCCTCCTCCTCCTCCTCATCCTCCTCGTCCTCCTCGTCCCCCTCCCTATCCCCTCCCGCAATTCTCGTGGACAGTGCCGCAGCTCTCTGCAGACGCGGACAGCAACGGAGGGCTGTTCCATGCCCCCGGGACTTCACCGCCAAGACGGCCGCCCGCCGAAGGCGCACGAGAACCGGCGACGGACCGGCGCCGAAGACCGTCGCCGAGTTCTCTTGTCGCCCCTGGCTGCGCGGCGCGTCCCTGCGCAGGCCAGGGCCCTTCGCTCCCCCCCCACTCTCTCCTCCTTCTCCTCCTCCTCCTCCCTCCTCCTCCTCCGCCTCCGCTCCTCCTCCTCCTCCTCTCCTCCTCCGCCTCCCTCCTCCTCCTCCTCCTCCTCCTTCTCCTTCTCCTCCTCCTCCGCCTTCTCCTCCTCCCTCCTCCTCCTCCTCCTCCTCCTTCTCCTCCTCGTCTTCCTCCTCCTCCTCCTCCCTCCTCCTCCTCCTCCTCCTCCTCTCCTCCTCCTCCTCCTCCTCCTCCTCCTCCTCCTCCCTCCTCCTCCTCCTCCTCCTCCTCGTCCTCCTCCCCCTCCTCCTGGGCGTCGGGTGTGATCCCGGAGGGTCGGGTGGGGGCCCAGAGGGCCTGGGTTGGGCCCAGGGGCCCCGACTTCGGAACCGCCGTGCCTTGGGCGATCGAGAAAGTGAGCAGGGCGGGAGTATCCGCTTTACTGTTCGTGTTCGAGCGTTTTCGATGTCGGATACCGCCCTCCTCTGCCGTCGCTGTTTCTGCTATTCCGTTGCGGAGATACCCGCCCTATTCTTCTGAGGCGGAAGTGCCCGTGCTACTTTGTCGCATCATTCGGCGTGACGCTCTTGCAAATTTTGGAATCGAATGTGCGCGGCGCTAAGGCGAGAGCCACATTTTGAAAACCACCCGCCCTCAGCCCGTGAAGCTCTTGCAAAATTTGAAAACGAATGTGCGCGGCGCTATCGCGAGAGCCGCACGTTGAAAACCACCCGCCCTCTATCTGCGAAACTGTTGCAAACCGTGAAGCTCCAGGGAGTCTTAGGCGAAACGACCGGCCCGCCCTGAAAACTGGCCTCGGGGTGCGACAGGGAGAAGTTATGCATAAGGAGAAGGAGAGGAGGAGGAGGAGGAGGAGGAGGAGGAGGAGGAGGAGGAGGAGGAGGAGGAGGAGGAGGAGGAGGAGGAGGAGGGAGAGGAGGAGGAGGAGGAGGATGAGGAGGAGGAGGAGGAGGAGGAGGATGGAGGAGGAGGAGGAGGAGGATGGAGGGAGGAGGAGGGGAGGAGGAGGAGGAGGAGGAGGAGGAGGAGGAGGAGGAGGAGGAGGAGGAAGTAGAAGGAGGAGGAGGCGGAGGAGGAGGGAGAAGGAATGGAGCCCACCCAAGGCCCTCTGGGCCCCCACCCCACCCGACCCTCCGGGCCCCCCACCTGCAGCCCAGGGCCCCCGGCCGGGCCCACTGGGCCCCGTTCGGCCCCCCGGGGGAGCCGCGGGCTCCTCCTCGCCGCGAGAGGGAGGGGTCCTGAGGGGAACGGGCCCCGATCCGCTTAGCTATTGCTTGTTCTCCAAGTAGGCTTGCCCTATAGGAGTCCCAGCTCAAGCCCTACCAATCGGTCCGTTGCCCCCCCCCCTTTACCCCTAATTCCTATGCCCCCTCCATAATTCCTATGGCTATGGCTGTGCCTATGCCTCCCCCTAACTCCTATGCCGATGCCGATGCCTATGCCTATGCCTGCTTTCTTGCTTGCTTGCTTGCTTGCGCGCTTGCGCGCACGCTTGCTTGCTTGCTGAGTTGCGGATTCCAAGCGCATGCTTGATTCCTCTGATTCCTTGATCTGAGTCGTCTAATCTATTTGGAGTCAACGCTGGCTGATATTGAACTCTCATCATTGAAACATAATATTTGTTGATCCCCCCTCTGGTGCACATTGTATTTTTCAATTGAAGTGCTTCCCCAGGGCTCGCACCCTGTTTTTTATCAGGGGAAGTCACGAGGCTCAAACTGGGCCCCTGGCCTCCGGTTTACAACAACAACGGCTCCCGCTGGATTCTTCCTTACACTTTCTCCCCAAATCGTGCTCTGACGCGGGACTTCCTCACGATCCATGTGCGCATCGCACGCTTGCGTGGGACTTCCTCGCAATTTCTTCAGACGATGCGCCCTCGGCGCTCAGGAAATCTCGCTCTCGCTTTGGCTTTTCTCACGATTTACTTGGGAGTCGCGCTATCGCTCGAGACTTCCTCGCGATTCATGCAGGACCCACGCGTCAGCAACCCGCCTGCTCGACCTCGTCGCCTGGGCGCGCCTTCCCGACCTGCCCGCTATGGGTCTGGCCACCCGATCTGCCCGTCTGGTTCTACCACTTGCTTTCTGCTCCTTGCCCCCCTCCTGCTAATTTCTCTCCTGCTCCATTCTTCTCCCTCCGCCTTCCACCCGTCCTCTCTTCCCTTGTTTTAGGGGCTGCACTAAATGCACGTGGCAGGCAAGGAAGATATAACCCCAAGCGTGTACGATCGAAGACGATGTGGGCGGGTACCAAGGGTTTGGGATATACGTAGTGATCGGCACGTGAGCAGATAGGAGCGGACAGTCTTAAACTGATTGTTGCTGTTGTTGTAGTTTCTGATGCTGCCGTTGTTGTTGTTCTTGCTGCTGTTGTGGTTGTGGTTGTGGTTGTGGTTGTGGTTGTGGTTGTGGTTGTGGTTGTGGTTGTGGTTGTGGTTGTGGTTGTGGTTGTTGTTGAACATTATTTATTCTAAAGAATAATTATTGTTGGGCCCCCTGGTGCGCGCCCCCCCTGCGCCGCCTAGGCCGCAGCTGCATTTTCATCATTTTCGTGAGGAAGCCTCAGGTAATTCGAGTTGATCAAGATCCGGTTGTTTTGTTGTAATCCGTTTTCCCTTGCAAAAAACACTATAAAATGACATTTCTTGTTCTAATATAATCAAATTTCAAGAATCCCTTGCAAAAAATAAGGTAAAGTGGACATTCGCG